TAGAGGTTGGTTTGTGAGTGGGTTTCGTTGAGTTAGAATAATAGATGACGTACGTGTAATTGTACTGAAATGCATCTCATCGGTTTACAGAAATAACTAATCTTGTAAAGTCTACTTATATTAAATACGATGAACGATTACAATGTGTAAAAATCATGCTATGTCACTCACCTGAACATAAACACACGGCTCTTAAAACGTCTTGTAACAGCATACAAAGTAGTCACGCATCCGTCACGCTAAATATAACACAGGCAACCCAGGCTTGTACTCTGGACGTGACTGCTCAAGTGTAAGTGAAGTCTGAGATATATATTTCCCAGAAAGGGCACGTCTTATAATGGCTAGAGTCAAATAGGATATTAAGCTCGTATCGAATCACGTTTCTCGGTTTGCTTTCATTTCCGAGCAGGAGACTGGAAGCAAGTTTTAAAATTGCAAAAATCCCCGCGTTACGAATGAAATCTTAAAGAACACGTCAAAATTAATAAAATCCCAGAGTTTTGTGTCGTTCGGGTGAATATTGAGGATCTTACACCTGTTCAAAAATACAACAAAATACCCTACGCATAATGTCGTCGCGCGCAGTATGTTTTGATTGAGTATAGACAAAAACAGTGAATGTTTTAGACTAATTTAATAGACATATTTCTCCGACAGTGACATGAATATCCCGCTCTGGCGACCATAAACATTAGCGTTAAAACAATAGAATTTTAGTGTGATGTAATTATGCCATAGTGTAATTACATGTTGTCCCTCCATTAGGACACAAAGCTCAGCAATWACAGTGTTTACAGCTATTCACTTTTTTCTAAACTTTTTAATCATTAAAATAGTTATGGTTGCCTTGTTTCTTGTGAGTATGTTTTTGTCATATATCTCGTGTTTATTTTCTGGTTCCAGTATGTTCGTCTGTCAAACAGTACAGAGGTATTTTGTGATTATTGAAAGGCATTCTTGACACCATTGATCCAATCAGCAAGCGACGTGGGCTCCATTCCTGTAACCCTCCTAAAGTCACCGAGATCTGCTGCATTCACCAGATGAGAACCATTGTCTATCAGCCTATCAGAGAACACAATTAATAGTTAATGACCGCTG